ATAGCATGTATTTAGGCGCCTGGTGTTAGCAGACGCGCCTAAACACAAATATTTCTCAAATCCCTTGGTAATAGTGAAAATATATTGTCTCATGAAGTCAACAACAAGCCTGCAAAATATTAGTCTTTCATTTTAATTGTAAGAGCCCGCGCATCGACCGCCAAGTGACCCACAGCACGCTAGTCGAATAAGACCAATTCTTGTTAAAAATTCTGGGTTTAGCCAAAAATTTTGGTGCATATTATTAGATAATCCTTTAACGCAAAAGATAAAGTCAAGTATCATTTCGCGCATCCCTTTATCTTATCGTTAATCTCAAACTCATCTATTTTCAAGAAAATTTTAATTGTTCTCTTGATAATTGCACTGGCCTATAGTCAAAAGATGTAAAGAACAACATTAATATAGCTGGCGTACATTTAGACCGCTAGTTCCAAATATTCGAATCCTTTTATAATATTAGCTATAGTTTGCGAACTTTTGCAAATTTAGGAACAATTTCGGTAACTCTAATAGAATAGCCATTATTTTCCATCATCGCGGAAAAATTTTGTTTATGCAAATTAGTATGGAAACACTGAACAGGCACAACTCCTAGACACACTAATTGGTTTACTTATGTTTAGGCATACAATATAAAAATTGCAAATATAAGAAAATGATAAAAAAATTTGTTCAAGATTTTTTTTATTTTAAAATAATTTGTTTATAATCTGAACTATTTTAGTTATATTATTATCAAAAATCAGTAACATTAAATCTCGCCTCCAATTTGTTAATTATTACGCACCGATCGAGTAACATTTACCAAAGTTATATCGAAAAACTTAAGTGGATTTCCAGTTTTTTTCTAAAAAAATGTCTCTTCAATTGTATAAATAACCTTTAAATAAAAGAACCGGATTACAGAAAACTTTGCCAGCGAGTGACTTTTTTCGTTCAAGCTGAATGCAAAGCAATATCGTCCAGTTGGAGAGTCCTCAAAAGGATTTCCCAGGATATGTTAAAGCCTATTGCATTTACCTACAGACACTTTTTTACATAATGGAATTAACTAAAATATTTATGTATATCTAAACACTTATTGCACGTCCCCTACTATCATATAACGGCAAATTTAGAAACCGCGAAAAATGTGCTTCTGCGGCGACTAATGAAACCATTCCGCACCAGTTTTCAAGACTGCAAAAATGGACTTAAAATATGAGTTTCTCACCCTAATTGTAATGTATGTAAATACTCATATATTTGAAACTACTATTAACTTGTCGAACGATTCCTAATCTTTGACAATACATTCATTCACCACGATTTTGAAAACTCGGCGAAACATTAAAAGGTTTGAAATAAATCTCGTCTCACTTTTTTGTATTTTTCACTTGGTTGCTGAAGTAATGAAGAATTGAAAATTCATAAGGGAAAATTATAGTTTTTGTAAGTTTTATCTTAATATCTTAAAAACGTGTAGACTTATTGAAAAATGATAAATGAACGTGAGGTACTAAATTTAATAGCCCTTAATTTGATATATCGTCTTGTTTATAACAATAACGCATTCCATAGATATTACAAGCCAAAGTTTCATTTTCAAATTTCATACACTTTGATGCAATTGCGCGGGCTAAAGATAAGTTTTAAATTAATCTTTCGTGGCCACTAACAATTGTATGAGACCTAAGACATCATAATATTACTATTACAATGCGGTCAAATGGCTTTTATTTTCCCCCATACAAAATCGACCCAGCCTAATGTATATTCCTCTTCCTTATATGTATATTCATCTTGCTTGCGCATACATACATACATACCTTTTCTTGTAAACGTATGGATGCCATTTGGCAAGAATTTTTAAATGAACTTGATGCTCACAAGACATGCTTTAGGAAATCGTATAAATGCCTTAACAAAAACATACATATTACAAAAGAAACAATACAGAAACATGTTTTAGTACTAATTGAAAGTTACAGCAGTATACTTACGAAGTTTAATTTTGATATCTCAGCCGACCAAAAACAATTTTTAACAAAAGAGTTTCGTCAACTAAGAGATAATCTTTTGAAGATATTTGTGAAGCATAACATTCACATCCATATACCGCTTACGATTGATACACCAGTAAAGCTAGAACACGACACTGAAGGAAGTAGCGACGGTGACTTTTCAGATACTGATTTACAGAACGACGAGGTAGACAACATGCCACAGTCAAGCATTGAGCTTTTGAGCCTAGCCTCTAAACTTATCTCAGATTTCGATGGCAAACATGAAAATCTTCAAAGCTTTTTAGACTCTTAAGAACTAGTTACTCGTAGCCGTTAACCTTATTAAAACAAAGTTAAAAAAGACTGCTAGAAATTTGATTAGCAATGAGTCAACAATAAGTGAAATTATATCAAAGTTAAAAAGGTGTGTTAAAAGTGAATCCGTGGAGATTATAGCCGCGAAAATTATGAATGAGCGCCAAAATAGCAAATCAGCAACAACTTACGCTAAAGACGTTGAGGACTTGACAAAAGCATTACAAGACACGTACATATCAAATGGCCTTAACTGTGACTTAGTAAGTACTCAACCCAAACTGCAGTTA